ATGTTGGTTATTATGTATTATTTTGAGGGCGTTACAATTATTGTAATTGCGAGCGTGCCAGCAAGGATCAATCAGTCCTTACAGAAAATTAATTGCCAACCAATTATCAGACAATTGTATTTTAGTTCTTTCAGCCTCAATGAAGAGGACTTTTACTGGTGGCTTGATTTAGGAGAATTAAGCAAAATAACAATTAAATGAAGAACCGTTGAAGTATTTCATTAAAGATGAAAAACTTACAATGATCCAAACTTAGCCTCGTAGAGGTTTACAGCAACAATCTACTTGAAACTACTCCTGTGAATGAAGTGCAGTGCAGGAATTTAAAGTACAGGAAATGTAAGACTGGAAATATAAAACTGGAAAGGAAAATAAGTATAATAAGACTGGTTTTTGGATCTGAGTCTGGGGGGCTTTTCTGGGGCCTTCTCTGCTATTTATACTGTTTAATGATGACCATCGAACTGTATTTCTAACTGTCGAACTGCTCCTCCATGATCGCTGATCATGTTGCCTCAGGATTAGCTCTATTACGCCATTATTTACCGTTAGGCTTCCCTCCTAAATTTGAATTTGAAATGTGAGTAACCGTTGAAGCCACATCACCTTGCATTTCTTTGTTGATCCATTGCTACTCAGATCTCGTAACCAACACTAACTGCCACGTGTATGATCAGGATTGAAGACTTGAATAGTCTCCTTATATCATCCTTATTTTGCCACGCATTGAATTGTAATTGGTTTATACAAAATATGTAGCCAACAACAATACATTACATTCGTATTACATATTCATTGCTATTGAGATAGGATAGGCTGATGATTTGCTTTTGAGCAAGTACTTGTGTTTCAGTTTATACTTGTGGATGTGATGACTAGTTTTACTGTATTATTACTTGCTTCCATTTTTGTTCATTGAAACTCATTACATACATATCTAAATTATTATGAAAATAAATGTAAGTATCGTATCTAAATTATTATGAAATTAAGATTGTAATTATTCTTGCATATCATTTGTGTGATAATTGTTAGAAGAAGAAAATAATGAGATTAAAGTAATATCCTATTTTCTTAGAATTTATTAAATTGATTTATCCTTAATGTGTAAATGTGTCTCATATTGATGTCCATACCTCATAAAAAGTAAGAGTAATTTAATAATATAATATATTAAAATTGGATTTCAACAATTTAATAAGAAAGTAAATTTAAGTCTAATATTTTTGTATCTCACTCAAGTGTGAAAACGACAAGCATAATAACAATATAAATAGTTTCAAGGGTAAATTATTAACAGATCTTAATAGTTGGACTTAATTCCCATCAAATTCTATTGAAAATAAATTCTAATATAATCGTCGCTAAAAATAATTTTTTGTGACGATTTTTTAACATATGTCGCTAAAAATTAACAATTAGTGACTTTTTTTTTGTCACGAATTTTATAAATTATCACTAAAACTTACAATTAGTGATGTTTTTCTATGATGAATTTTTCAAACTGTTGCTAAAAGTTGAAAATTAGTAACTTTTTTGTGACATTTTTTTAAACTGTCGCTAAAACTTATAGTTAGTGACATTTTTTTGTGACAATTTTATACTGTCGCTGAAAATTAAAAATTAGTTACATTTTTTAATAGTGTATGATGAAAAATGTCATTAATTATCATAGGATCTATTGGATAATAAATCCACTTGGTAGGATCTATATGTAGGGCTCCTTAGTTTCAACTTTATATTTTAATGTAATTTTTATAGGCCTTGCTAAAAAATGGTAAACTTGTTATTGACTCTTAAATTAATAACGAATTTCTTTAGAATGATTTATTATCATTCTTTGAGCTTATATATTTAATACAATATTAAAAAATAATTTTTTTTTACAAACGTATCCTAATTGTATTTGTATCTTTTTCTTCTTTTTCTTCTTCTTTTTTAATTTTGTCGTTTTTGTAAGTGTCTTCTATCACTACAAGAAATGACACTTTTGGCGACCAAAATATTGGTCTTCAAAAGCCCCATTTTTGGTTGCCGAAACAAATTAGTGACTAATTTTTTTTGTCGCCAAAGTCGTCGCCTATACTCTGTCGGCGATAGTATTGGCGACTAAACTATTTTTGGTCGCTGAAAGTGAACATTTTGGCTACTAAACTCTGGTTAGTCGGCAAAGGTTATCTTTTGGCGACTAAAATATTAGTCGCCAAAAGTGAACATTTGGCTACGAAACTTTGAGTAGTCGGGAAAGGGGATATTTTGGTGACTAAATATTTAGTCGCCAAAAGTGTTCAAATAAAATCTACTCACAGTTTGGTAGCCGAATGTTCACTTTTGGCAACTAATATTTTAGTCGCCAAAACATAA